CAGAACTCCTATGTACAGTTCGGCGTATATTCAACGCCCTCATTCTACTTAGCTCAATCGTTTGATGATTTAATTTCTTTTTGTTATTTTTTTTTTTGTTTAAGACATCTTTGTGGCCTTAAGAGGAAGCTCTATTCAGTATTGATTCAGTTTTATTAACTGATCGAATAGAAAATACTGGGCACTTAAATTGAGCAATTGATTCTCTCTCTCCTTGCATATCTTTCGCTGCTTCTTTCTCTGTTTTTAGCATCAGTCAATAGCCAAGAAATCATGCCCAGTTCTTTTGGCAAGCCTCTTATATGTAATTAGGAGAAGAGAGAGAGAGAGATTAAAGAGTTTTTTGTTATTCAAGCCATCTTAACTAACAAACCGACGAAATGGAATAACTTGCGAATTTCTGCATATTTTTAACTACCTTTCATACTCTTCCTATTTATATATGAGTCATTTCTTATACAAATAGTAAGAAAGCTCTTGAAATTATGAGGAAAGTGGAACCAAACGTCTGTTTTGCTAGAATAAAATTCTAATGACTAATAAGATGAGTAATAATAATAAAAATAATATGAAGAAAATTTAGAAACTTGAGTCCAAATAAGGCATTTATAGAGTAAATAAAATGTGATAAGGTTCAAGATGTGTTAGGTGTTAGATATAAAAATGAATAATTTTTTTATATTATAAGTAGTGTAATTTTTCTTGTTATTACTATATTAAAAATAATGTAAACAATTATGATAATATAAAATGGAAAAAATATAATTAAAAATTCCATTTATGTTTTTTTTTTTTCAGTATAACAAAGCGGAAAAATAATTAAAAATAAGTTAAAAATAATTTCTATTTTAAAAAGTGAAAAAATAACAAAAAAAAAAAAAATAACTAAATATTTACAACATTTATCGCCGCCATTTATCGACCACCCCCACTATGATCATATTGAAAGGCTTTATATTAAAGCTTGTTTAATAGATAATTCGAAACTTTTTTCTTAACTGAAATTTTATTTATTTACTTTAATATTATTTATCAGCATTTTATGACTTCAAATGTGTAAATAAATAAAAGTAAATAGAGCAAGCTAAGCAAAGGTATGTCTGTCTGTAATTGAAGCGCATACTTATAACACGCAAGTACCGTTAATAAAACGTAAAGCAACAAATCATGCTACAATTTTTTGTTTTTGTTGGGCTTATTAGCTATTAATCCATATTACTCATTCAACACATTCCCTTCACATACTCATTTGTACATATATATAAGAGTATAAGGAATGTATCATATATACACGAATGCATACACACATACATGCATATCTTATCGTTAAATTGATTTGTTTGATAAGCGAAGGTGAAAAATGGGCACAGTGTTGATAAGATAATAAATTTCTTCCTTAAGCAACACACAAAGAGCGAACCAAAACAATTGAATGCATTGAGTAACGTTCTTTAGCTTTTTTTTTTTGCTCTGTTGCATTAATATAAATACACTAATGTTTATTTACAATTATTATTATTATTTTTTTTCTGCCTTAGTTTTGTAACTTTTGTGCTTTATTTAGACTGAAGTGTACTTAAGCGAATTGCACTTATGAGGTGAAGTGAGTTCATAAGTGCAGCTGCTTTATTTTATATACATACACATATATACACATATATATACACATATATACACATATCTTTATATACATAGGTATATGTGTATGTAGATAGGTAAGTATGTTTGTATTGTATTTAGACATTGGTGTAGGAAGTAATTTTCAAACTGTATAGTCAAGTCAATATTTGTTGTAGAAATGGTATTTATAAGAAGTGTAAGAAATTAACTTAATGTAAACAATTTATGTTTATTGTGTGGAAATCGATGTGTTCTTTTTATAGAAAGAACTTCAATGGTGTTTATGGTGGGCTTTTGCAATTTTATTACCACACTTTATGAAGCTTTATAATTTTTTTTTTATTATAGTGTAATGTAGAAATTGTTGTATTATTACTATATATATATATATATATGTATTATTTGAATTTGATAACTCAGTAACGAGTTCTAACAAAAAGGATCACCAGGCTAGTTTTCTTAGGCTAAGAATTTGTCGTACAAATCATTTGAGAAGCAATTTTTATTAAAGAAAATAATAATAATAAAAAATTACCATTTAAATGATTAACCGCAAGGTGTAAGAAGAGAAATTAATAAAAATGTCTATGTATCGATTGAAACATTTGGAAATGTTATGGTGAAAGCAGTTATCAAAATAAATGTTATTTCGTTACTGCACGAAAGAAAAAACCGTCGTTAATGTTACAACGTTAACAGAAAATGTTGAATCATTAACAGATCATGTTGAATCATTAACAGATAATGTTAAATGTTATCATGTTACTGTCACATCAACCAGCAGTTAACACTGACAATTTCAACATTAACAATTTCTTTTCGTTTCGATAACAAGACGTCGAAACAAAACAAAATGTTTTCGCGACGTTTTTTTTTGTAATAACGAAACGAAGTAATTAGTTGAGCATCACTGATGAAAACGAAAAAATTTGCGTTGTTAACATAATCATGTAGAACTCAACAGAAGTTGTCATTGCATTGAGATTAACATAAATTGCAGAGGGATTCCTGTTTATTTACCTAATACGGTCAAGAAGCCTCTGAATAATGTTTTTACAGAGAAGTTTCATGGACACTTGTGATCATCATATAGCTTTGCTACTCATATTAATATTTTTTAAAGCAGCCCATGGCATAAGACTTCATTATAAGTCATTTCCCAAAATGAGTGGAATAAAATTACCTCGTCAACTAACATGAATTTTCTACATATAATAAGTAGTTATTGTGGGAAAAATAGTAAAATGGGTTTCTTAACAAAGTGTGGTTACTTAAGTAGCAAGCCAAACATGTCTTGTTTTAGTTAAAAGTTAAGCCTTTATGAAAATAGTTCACTTAACGAGCGTTTAAAGCGTTAATATTGTTACAACTTACAGCGAAAATGGTGTTTCAAACGTGACCACATTTCGTGCTTTAAGAGGTGGAGATTATGGTTTAAATAATCGTCCAAATCGTCGTACAAAAATTACTACAGCCAAGAGGCACATTTTTCACTTGGAAGATACGTAAGTAAGCAAAATTGTCACATTTAGATTGGCGCCGAAAAGTCACAAATCATTGAAGACGGGGAATTTCAGGAAAAAAAATTACTATACGGGGCGCTCTTTGGTACGGAGTTGTGGTTGGACCTTACTACTTACGGTAACGGCGAATTTGTCATTGTCAATTCAGAGTGTTATGGTATGATATGATAAGAGATTTTTCTGTAAATGAAGAATACGTCTTGGACAATATGTGGTTTCCTGTTGGAAATTTCCCGGCCGCGTAGTATCTCGTCTGGGCGAAATCAATTCGGCCTGCGAGAACGTGCAACTAGACACCGTCAGTCTTTCTTTTGCGGGATTACGTGAAAGACCGTATTTATGTTAATAAACCTATAAATCCTGAGTACATAAAAATCAAATTTCGTCAATTTACCGCTGATATATTAGCTAATATGTGCCAACAAGCAGTAGAAAATTTTTTTAAACGTCAAATATTCAGGTGATAATCACTTGGTGCGAGGTTCTCATTAAGAAGTAGTTGTATAAGAACCTGCCAACCAAGCTCTCAGAGTTTTTGGCGAGTCATTATGGATATATGTGAGCTGGCGTTATGATAATGAAACGAAAATTCCCCTCCAGGCCGATTTCTTCCTTTAAACAGTCCAATCGCTGACAGTACAGGCCAGAATTAAGAGTTTGGCCGCAGGGGAACAGCTCGTGGTGGATGATTCACCAATACCATACCATACGCAGCAAAACCTTGCATCTCGGCAATCCTGGTTTAGAGACCACTTCAGAAATAAGCTTTTATGAGTTCAGTAGAGATTTACAGCAGGAAACTTAGTTGATGCGTCATACGCTACTGACTTAAGTGATCAACGCTTGACTCGTTATATTTTTAATACAAAATATCATCTTTCCAACACCATCAAGCGTAATTTAATCACCAGATAAATATCCTAAAATTGATGGCATTCATAGCAAAGCAAAAGTTTAACACCTTTACAGGCTAAAAATAAATTTGCATGTCATTTGTTTTATTTATTTATTAAGTAATATTAAAATATAAAAGTTAAGTATATAAAAAGAGTACAAGCAACAAAGGCCATCGACTCAACAATTTTCATGTTAATAATAGAATTTATTATGTTTTCTTTTGAGATTCGTGTACACGCTTCGCTCAAATTAGTCAGCGAACCGGCATAACAGAGCGAGCTAACCTTGAGCTACTCGCCAAATGATAACGAATACGACGGCAATAGCGCAAAATTGAAGAAAAAATAATTCGAAAATACGAACGATAGACGAAAACAAGTGAAAAGTACAAAACGATAAATTGAAAATGAAAACAACTTTACAATAACAAAAAATTAACAACAACAACAACAACAACAACAAATCTCAAAACTTTGCTAATTAAAAATACAAAATTATTTTCAACGCATTGCAATGCAATGATGCGAATGCAAAGTTGTAAAGTAAAAGTGTGCAAAAGTGTAGAGAGACGAAAGAGCGATGATGGTGATGATGATGATGATGATGCTCTTAATGCTGATACTGAGAATGAGACTGATAATAAATAAAAGTCAGCAGTCAACAGATAGCAAAATAAGTGCTAAATTTACGTTGCGCCGTAAAAATTTTTTCGAACGATATTGCGTAAGTAAGTTGTTGGTGGCGGCGGCGAAGCGGGTGCTAGAGAGCGAGAATTCTCTGAGTGGGTCGATGGGTATAAGGTGGCTGATTTTTGCTGTGTGTGTTTGTTAAAAGCAATGAGACAAGGTAAATTACATATTGTATATATGTACGTATGTGTATATGTAAATACCATATAGGCATTGTAAATACAGTTAGAATACGAGCGTAAGGGAGAGAAAAAAGCTCATTAAAACTTACACTAATTATCCAGAAAATGCAGCAAAGTCGTAGATAGCGTCGTAACAGCGACTCAAACTCTGCGCCGCGCAGTCGGTGGTGGCGGCTGGTTGGTTAGACAAAACAAAAACCTGCTGAAGCGCTGGTGGTTTTTGTGCTGCTGATAAATTTGCACGCGTGACCAAGTTTTTCTACACTTTTGCAGTTATTTTTTGTTTTTTTGTTTCTTTTTTTTTATTTTTTCTTTACACCCACAACACTATACATAAGTACATATGTATGTGCATATATGTATTTAGTGCATGCAAAATTTTTTCACCCGCAATGCGCTCGAGTTGTTTGCTGCTGTGCGTGTTAGGCGATGTTTGATGTTTATTGAAAGGTTGCTTGATTGTTGTTGTTGTTGTTGTTGTGTTTGATTTTTATTTTCTTTATTTACTTTTCTTCCACTTATTCTTGTAATGTTTTGTTTTTTGTTTGTTTTTTTTTTTTTTGTTTTCGTTTTGCTCTTGTATATTCTTGCCCTTTGAATAATAGCAAACTTTTTAATGATGTTGCTGCACTACACGCGCCGCCGTTACGTTGTTGGACAAGTAAAAATTAAACAAATAACAACAAAAACAACGCTGCATTGACTCGTTTTGACGTTTGGCGTTGGTAGAACTGCACAATTTGGTTGTTGTTGATTTTTTTTGTTACAATTTTTGTAGCCGCAAATTTTGTTTTTCAATTTTTTACGAATTTTTTCCTTCTTTCTTGCTTTTAAGAAAGTTTGTTTTCGTTTCAATTTTTTTTGTATTAAGTATTTTGTTTTTGTTATATTTTGCTGCGTGTTTTTTCTATTGTTTTTTTTTTTTGCTTGCTCACTTCTTGCTCGCTTGCATTTTTCTTATCTGCCTACGTCGTCGTGCAACAAACGCGGGTGGCATAAACTTGTAAGCAAATTTGTCGATTGTGTTGCAATTTGTTTGATTCTAGCTGCAGCGGAGGAGTTTTAGCAGTGGCAGCAATTATAAGTGAAATTGGAAAAGCATATTCTAGAGGGAAAACAGAAATAAAATTATATATAAACATACATACATACTTGCATATACATATACTAAAACTTGTTTGCTATTAGTTGTTGTTGTTTTTAGGTTTCTTTTTGTTCTTTTTAGGTTTCTTGTTGTTCTTTTTTTATATGTTAATATTATTTTTGTTAAGCACAAGCAAAAATCGCTCGTGTGCCTGCCTTATCATTTGGATTGCTTCAATGTATTGTATATACATATGTATGTGTGCAAACAAAGCAAAACCGGTATTACTAGCCATGTTAATTAGTTATGGTGTTTAGTAAATTTTTTCCATTGATCCACTACCAAAACATTACAAAAAAAAAGTTTATGGCAAACAATTTTTTTTAATAAAAAAATTTAATTTGCAGAAAATAAAATTTTTATTAAAAAAAAAATATTTTTTTTTGCTTTGCTTTCTTTTTAAAATTTCATTTGTTAGTTTCTAAATATATATATTTTTTTAATTTTTTAGGGAGAAGTTAAAAAAAAAAAACTATAAATAAAAATCATTATTGCATGGCAGTAACATATTTTTTCGTATTTAAAATCGTTAAATTGGAAAAATAAATAATATTGCTATGCAATTGCTATTTGATTTATATACATTTATATACATACATATTTCAATTTTAAAAGGTTTTCTATTACAAAAGTAGTTAAAATATTTAAAGCAAAACTAGAATTTTGTTTAATGAAAAAGTTTTAAATTTTTTCGCCTTGAAATATTGCATTTAACCCTATATAAAATTTTTTTACTTATTAATTCTTAATCTTATGTGAGTTTCTTTTAACTACTTTTATTTATTAATTCTTGTCTGAATATAATTTAATGGTTTTGTTAATTCTTTTTCTATTTGACGCATAACACTATATTAATATATAATATACATACATAGCTTATAATATATTTATTAATGTATAATAATAATATTAAAAAATAAAACTATTGTTTTGAAAAAAAAAATTAAATTAAATTTAATACAGTTAATTTTTGTGTTTCCATTTTTTTTTTTAAATTTTAATAAATCTTTACATGGAAAATATTTAAACCTATAATTTTTTTCCTATCTAATGTATAGCATTATATATATTTATATAAAATTATTGTATTAAAAAAATTAAATTAAAATTAAATCAATTATCTTTTTTAAACTGTAATAAATTTTTACATAGAAAATATATAAATCTATATTGTTTTTCCTATGTAACGTATAACAATACATATTTAAATATATAATATTAAAAATATAAAATTATTGTATTAAAAAAATAAAAATAAAATTAAATTTAAGTCAATTAATGTAATAAATTTTTACATAGAAAAAATATAAATCCAAATCTTTTTTCCTATTTGACGTATAGCAATATATATTTATATATACTATTAAAAATATAAAATTATTATATTTAAAAATAAATAAAATTAAATTAACGTTAAATCATTTAATTTTTTTGTATTTACTTTTGTTAAATTTTAATAAATTTTTATATAGGCAAAATTAATACAAAAATTTTTCGTTTTTTTTCTTTCACAAAAATTTATTGAGTCATAAAGTTTTATTATAAATTTTATAATATTTTTTTGTGTAATTCATTACTTATAAAAATTAAAAAAAGTTGTTTATACCCTATTAATTTTAACGTTTTACGTCTCTTATGCTTAATTTTTCTTTAATTTAATTAAATCACCGAAATTTAAAAATATATGTTTTATCAAAATAATACCTAATTTTTTTCAATTTATGTTCTTTTAATTATTTTATTATACAAGAAAGATTTGTATTTTTTTAAATTTTCTTTAGCTCACTTTTTACTAGTTAACTAATTTATTATTAAATTATTAATTAAAATATTTGTTTTAATTAAATTTACAATTAATTAGGTGTACATTATTATATTAACATTATTTATTTTTTATTATTACTATTTTTTTTGTAATTTGGGTACCTAAACATTTGCTTATGAAACAATATACATATATACATATATACAAAGTATTTGTCATTAATTAAAATATGGAAAAGAGTAAACATATATTTATATAAGTATCAATAAAATTTATTTCTTTATACTAGTTAATTATATATACTATGGAATACATATATGAAAATATAGTGTTTTTATTTCATTCACGAAATGCACACACCCTTTTTTCTATCTATTAAGGCATTCAACTCTTTGAATAAATGTTTTTATTTTGATTTAAAATTCCAACTGACGGCGATTTCTTTCGCTTTTGCAATTTCAATAAGAAATTTGATATATTAATTTTCTAAATTTAATTTAAGCTCTATAGGTGCAAACTGACTCTGTAAAAAAAAGATAATTAAAACCTAAATGTTTTTTTAAGTCCTACGCAACAACAAAAACATCAATTTTTTTATTACAAATTATAGTCGCACAAGATTCAATTCAAACTTTTTAGATATTACACATTAGTATGTATATGTGTGTAAAAATATCTGAAAATCGACTTCCTTTCCAATTTAAGGTTAACTTTCTACAGTTGCACTGCATGCAGTTATGAAAATCGCATAAGTTCACCAACTTTTTTGCATGCATTGCAAATTTATTGTGCAAAAATTTGCATGTGTATCTAATAGATACGCCAAAAATTTTGCTATTGCCGGTTTACGCCCCGTTTTTAAGCAGCATAGCTATAGCAGTGGTAGCAGCAGCAGCAGCAGCAGACCAAGCGACCCCACGTCCGTTTACGCACATACACATATGTATGCATGTTTGTATACAAGCGGAGCTGTGCATAGCTGTGAGATTTTATGTGCCATCAGCTGTAAGCAATGCCAACAACAAGAAGCGTGGCGCTAACAACAGCAGCAGCGGAAGAAACGTGCGTGGTGTATGCCGGCATAGCATAGTCAAAGAAAAAGAGAAAAAAATTTAAAGAAAAAAACAAAACAAACACGTAATTTTCTATAGCTAGTAATATGCATGTATGTGTGCACGTATGTATGCATCTTGTTATTTTATATAATTTTCATTATAAAGCACATACGTTTGTTATGTTTGCTGTTGGCTAGCGTACCGGTCCGCTTACATGCATATGTATGTATATCTGTAGGTACGCAAGCACGCAAGAACAAGCGTTCTTATTACTTCTTCCGTTTTCGCAATAAAATATAATATTTCAAACAAGTTTTTCGCTTTTCACCCTCAAAAAAATTACGAAAATCTCCACTCCACTCCACCTCTACTCACTCTCATCTAATCAAGTAAGTGTGTGTGTTTTAATGTAGAAACAAATGATACACATGTGTATTCACACACCTCGTCGTCGTCACACATACACACACGCACACACGCGCGTACACATGAGATACACGAAAAACACGGCCGCCGCAGATACAAAATACGTTCTGTATCTGCTCGAATGCTCGATTGCACGTTTAAACGATTTCCAAATCGGCGTAACAATAACGTCCACTCATGTTCACGTACACCGCTCAACTGCCAGCGTCAACGCCACCAATGCGTGTCTGTCCGTCCGTCCGTCCGAACTAGTATACTCGTTTGCTCGTATGCTCGTTTGCTCGCTGTCGTCGCTATCTCGGTGCAAAATGTGGTTGAGTACCAGTGGGTCGTCGTCGGCGGCGGTAGTAGCAGTAGCAGCAGCTGCCCCGACATTAAAGCCAGTTTTCATACAATCGGGAGATGATAATGTTGACAAGAGCACGAAGAGCACAGGAGTACCGGCCGTAAGTGCAAAGCTAAAATTTTTACGAATACAAATACTTGTAGCGGCATTGCCAATTGGCAACTTGTATGGCGCTTTATTGGAGCTGTTGCGCCAACGAAGTGGAAGAGCTCTGTGAGAGCTCAATGTGATGGGCGAGAGCGTTACTGTGGCGCGTTGGAGAGACGATGAGCAATGCAAATGAATACAAATTTTCACTCTGCAATGTTGGAAACTTCGTGAGTGCACGTCAAGAAACGGTATTTCGTTTGCCACTCGGCGCATGTGGTTTGAAACTTGGCTAAATAGTGGGCTGTTGAGCGTGCTCTCACCCATGAACACGTGTCTAACTGTTTATTGCTTATCGTTAATGCACTTGGATGAATGAGTATGTGCTGTATCAGCTGTGATTCTACTGATAAAGTATGCAGTCAGATGAATTGACTGGGTGGCGAAAGCTATAAAAAACAGCGTTTCCAGCTCATTCTCCCTCATTGAAGTAAATGACAATTAAGGCGAAAAGATGTATTTGCACAAAAGATGTGGTTAGTTAAAAGTGTTTTCTTTCTTATAGATATTTTTTTACAAAGTATATTGTAGTACAGACAGAGAAGGGAAGGTAAAGCGATTCGAAGCATGCAGGAAAAAGTATAGGGCCTAAAATTAGGAGTATTGCTCAAATAGACTATTGCACGAGGAAAGAATACTAAAATCAACAAGAATCAACTGAATACCACAGGTCAACTGATCAATACTGTATACCCAAATTTGTTAAGCAGTAATGTTTCGAGTTAAGCAAAACCATGAGAAAGTAGTGGACAATTTAAGATTGCCTTTTCCTGCGAGAGGACCTATACTAGTAGATATCTCTTTTCTCTTTATCGCGATGAGTATTGGTGATCTTTTTATTTAATATTTTCTACAAGACGAGAATCTCATTACGATCATTGAAACTTTTCCATTTCGAGCTTATGGGTATATATTAGAGAGCTCT